AGGTCCCAGGTTCGATTCCGGCCAACGGCATGTACTTTGATTGCGGGCACATCCCCAGTAGGGAGTGTGCAGGAGGCAGCTGATCCATGTTTCTCACTCATCAATGTTTCTGACTATCCCTCTCCATCTCCCTTCCTCTCTGTAAAAAATCAATAAAATATAAAAAATTTTTTTTAAAAAAGGGCTTCTTCCGTTTCTTCCTCTTTCCCAGGAATAATCAGTAAACATTTACTAGCTCAGGATCGGCCCTGGGGCTACATGCAGCGCTGAAGCTCCACGTCTAGCGGGGGAGACAGAGCTGTGGCATGTGATGGGGTGACCCAGGGACCTGTGTATATATTGGGGTGAAATGGACCCAGCCTGAGTGGACCTCCCGGAGAAGGTGGTGCCCAAAGAGGAACTGGAGTTACTGGCATCCATAGAGGGAGGAGACGGGTGAGGAAGGAGGTTGCTCTAGGCCTGAGGAAGGGCCTGGTCCCTCCTGGAGGGCAGGGATGTCGCCTCATGGCCATGTGCCAGCCTTCGGTGCATAGTAGGTGTTCAGTGAAACTGCTGAGAGAGCTGGGGCCCTAGAGCCACACATGATCCTAAAAAAGACAATGTCAGGTCCCGGATAGGAACCTCGCTAGAGTGAGGTCAGGAAGTGCTCTGTAGAGCTCACTGGGGATTCATGGATCAGAAAGATGAGTTTTAAAACAGAAAAAGTGCCAAGTCCTAGAGTCTTTGTTCCTGAGGGGGGCTGTTTCCCTGGAGGATCCTGGTGGGAGGGAAGTTAGCTGGCTGAAAAGGGAGCAGAGAACCCGGAAATCAGGGCAGGCACCAGGACATTTTTCTTCCTCTCTGTCCTGGGTCTGGCCCTCCCCATGCCCAGCTGGCATGAGCTGAGGCTTGGCACAGGGCTCCAAATGCGGCCCAAATAGCCCAGGGTCTGGGCAGAGGCAGAAAGAGCTCTCTCTCCCCCACCAAGTAGCCCGCCAGGCCCCTCCCCCTGAGCCTGATCCAGTAAACACTCAGTCCCTGGACGGGTGGGCAGTCCTGGTCTTCCCGCGTGTGTGTTGAATGTGACACTTGGGGGTAGCTGACCCTCTCCCTTCCCCACGGGCCTGGACAAGGGGCTGGTCCCTAGGACTCAGAGCTTTCTCCCCTCACCCACCACTGGCCCAGGTTCCAGTCAGGCTAGTTTTTCCTCCTCTGGGGAACGCCATGGGCCATCCTGACCCAGCCGCCCTGCCTCACCTTTCCTGGGTTTCCACTTGCGGGAAGTGACGGAGAGGAGTGGCGACAGACCTGGGATGCTGGCCCTGGGTCATCCTGATATCACCCACCTGGCCTGGCCAAGGCCTGGAGCTGCCCATAGCGTGGCCAACATCTCTGGTCTCTGTCCTCCACTCTCCATCCGCATTACTGGGAGGAGTTCAGGCCCTCTCCCTCTAACATGGCCTATCTCAGCAGACCCTTAACTGGCCTCCCTCCCCCTGGCCATGCCTCCCTCCCTCCCACCAACCCATTCTCCACTTGGAACTCTGGCAATTTCTGAAATACAAATGATTGACATGACTTTCCATTGTCTTCAGCATCAAGTCCAACAACTCCTTGGCTGAAGTACAGCCCCCAACCCCTCTACCCCCTGCCTCCACCTCTTCCTTGGCCCCTCGCCTCCCCACATGCCCCCAAACTGAGTCACTGGATGTTCCCCCAAACTGAAATCAGCAATCTACTCACTCATCCAGGCCCTCCTCTGCCCCCCACACACTTATTTATCTTTCAGTCTCTTAGTCAAGTGTCCTGCCCTCTATAAAACACCTCTCAGTGCTCCTGGGCAGAAGTGAGTGCTCTCTCCATTTGCTCTGTCAACATAAGAACCATCCAAACCTGTAAGAATTTTTTGTTTGTTTGTTGTTGTTGTTAATCCTCACCCGAGGATCTTTTCCCATTGATTTTTAGGGAGAATGGAAGGAGAGGGAAAGACAGAGAGAAACATCCATGTGAGAGAAACACATTGGTTGCTCTGGGCCATCTAAACCTGTAAGAATTTTTTTTTTGTTTGATTGTTAACCCTCACCGGAGGACATTTTTCCATTGATTTTTAGAGAGAGTAGAAGAGAGAGGGAAAGACAGAGAGAAACACATTGATTGGTTGCCTCCTACACAAGCCCCAACCAGGACCACAGGCCAACGCTCTATCCACTGAGCCAAACCGACTAGGGCCAAACCTGTAAAAATTTTTTTATGAGTTTTATTTGAGCCAAACTGACAACAATCGCTGGGAAGCAAAATCTCAATGGGTTGAGGAAATGCTTTGGAAAATGGCAGTTTTATTACCGGGGACCTTGGGGTAGTCTTTTTCCCACTGAGTCCTGGGTGTGGAGTTCTGACAGTATCTCAAAAAAAAGAGTTGTCTGGGACTCGCACTGGAGAACGAGTGATTTTTTTAAATTTGCGTGGAATTACATCCCTGGGTTTCCAAAGTCCCGAAATGCTCTGGAAAATGGCAGTTTTGTTACCGGGGAACTTGGGCATTCTTTTCCCCACTGAGTCCTGGGTGTGGAGTTCTGACGATATCTCAAAAGAAAGAGTTGTCTGGAGAATGAGTGATTTTTTTTTATTTGCGTGGAATTACATCCCTGGGTTTCCAAAGTCCCATGTCCCTTAGTCCAGTTGTAGGAGTGCAGCTGGGGGTTCAGGAGAGCCAGAAGCAAAGCAATGCCCAGCGTTTCCATTCCTTGTTGCATCGGGTCCAGTTCAACATTGGCTGGTTGCAGTCCATTGTCCATTGTGTGTGGGGTCCACATGGCTGTGGGCCACGGGGGTAAATGCAGGGGAACCAAGAGAGCCAGGAGCAGGAACTCTTTTGTTAGGGGATTAAATATCCCAAATCCCCCCCCCCCCCCCCCCCCCACCCCCATCTGACACCCTGGCTGTGGACTTCTGGCAAGTCACTGCCCCCCTCGGAGCCTCTGTTTCCTCATCTGTAAAATGGGGATAAGGATACCCTTCCCACTGGGCTGCTGTGAGGACCCAATGGGATTTGAAAAGCCTTGGTAAAAGGTACTATACTACAGCCAGCTGTTCTGATGGTTATGGTCTTGGGGTGGGGAACTGGGACTCTAAGCTCCTCTGAAGTTTAGGGGACTCACAATCCCTTAATCTTTCGGGGGGAACCACTGGTTCTAGTCTGTTTCCTAATACAAAGTTCCTTTCCAGACGCCCCTATCAGGCCGGAAAAACAGACATTCTGGCTGGGGCTTAGTGTACATAGCAACTATCTGGCCCATCTCCTCTTCCCCCACCAGGAGCAGGCCTCTTCCTCAAGGCCAAATAAAGAGAGTGACTCATGTCAGACCAGTCCCGGTGGCTACAGGCTACAACCTTTGTGAAGGTCCGGCCACACCCTGCTTTCATGACTCTGTTCGCCTTTTCCCCATTGGGGACCTACCCACTTGCAGGCCTGCTTCACTAGTTTAAACAGCCTGAGGCTGGTCTTCCTAGTGGCTAGGTTTGCTCCTGGGGGCAGGGTAGGGTGATAGGTGTGTGCGTGTGGGGTAACCTGTCCCTGTTCCTGGGTATGTTGGACAGAAGACAGTTTATTGGGGACATGGTCTCAGTGTCTGGGGACAAGTCTTCATTTAGCCACAGGTGACCCAGATGATAATGTGCAGATTAGAGGGCTGATATTTCATGGGGGAAACTGAGGCGTAGCGATAGGGCGTGACTGGCCCAATTCTCTAACACTCTGTCAATAGGTCATAGGCCTCTGTCCTGAGCCTGGGGGACTGCTCTGACAGAAGGACAGAAGGAACCATGGGGACAGTTCTGTGGAGGGTGAGGCCCCTGGGGACAGTAAATGGCTGAGGTGCTGGCAGTGCCCGGCAGTGTCTGGCAGGGGGCCTGGCCCTCCATAGTGATGAGAAAGGTGATGGAATGGTTGGGCTGGATGTAGAGTTGGGTTAGGGCTGTGAGTGGAGAGGAGGGGCTCCTTCCTCTATTAGCAAAACGTCACTTTGTGGGCATCCTTGCAGGGCCCTCTCATCTACCACCCACCCACCCACTAGGATGAGATTGTGAGGTGCAAGGATTCCGCCTCTGACCCCGCCTGCAGATGCTCACATGGAGAGAGGGATTCCATCCTATTTTTTTTCTTCTGGGTGGCAGTTGCTAAAAGTCTCATGGGCAAGTTACTTGCCTCCCTGGGGCTCAGATTCCCATCATGGATCGTTCATGGGGGTTGGAGGGTAGGAGGTTGTCCTGGTGGGGGGTGGGGTGGGGTGGGCTGGGGTGAGTCCCGGAGTGAGGGGCCAGCCCCAGGTGTGAAGGTGCCCTTCACCGTCCAGCTGCAGAGCTGCTCCCAGCAGCTGTTCCCAGGAGCCCATTGTCACTTCCTGGCTGGGTATGGACACAGCAGGGTGGGGCAGCTTTGTCTCAGGAGGCAGGCAGGCAGGCAAGCGTGCCCCTCCCAGCACTCTCATGGGGGCGCCTGCAAGGGGGAGTCAAGGTGTGGGTGGTCCCCAAGAGGTGGGCTCCCAGAGGCTGTCATTCCGAGCGGGTGCAGGAATGTGGAACATGTACTTTGGGGGTTAATTGTGATCACAAGGAAGGGGCTCAGTTCCGGATTCTTGAGGGGGGACTCTGAGTGAGTGATCCCTGGGGGAGGAAGGGAGCAGCATACACTCTCCCAGGGACCTAATTCCTGGGGTGATCTGATGAAGGGGGGTCAGAGTGTGCACTGGAAAGGGGTGTCTAAGCAAGTTGCGAGGGGGGTGCAGATGGGAACAAGCGGGCGCCAGAGGGAGAGCCTGGTCTGGGGGCCCAGTGGGCTGGGCGGGGCGGCTCCCTCGGGGCTGGAGCCTCTGGCCCCTGGGAGGAGGGAGTGTTGGAGGCAGAGCCGCCAGGAGCTGGCCAATGGGGAGCGTGCCCGTGTGTGCACTCAGGAGCCAGCAAATTCCTCGGCCTCAGATATCCCGCCCGGTCCCCCCCTCCCCTCCCCTCGAGCATAAAAAGCTCCAGGTGAGAGCCTGGTCACTCCTCCCTCGGACCTCAGCTCCTCCGACCAGAGTCGCTGCCAGTCCTCTCTCGCTATGACTTCCTACAGCTATCGCCAGTCCTCGGCCGCCTCGTCCTTCGGGGGCCCGGGCGGCGGCCTGATGCGCTTCG